TATATATATATAATGCTTTCTTATAAAAAAAGGGGGTGCAGCATTCAAATCTCTGGTATTTTGCAGTAGCAGGCCTCACCCGAAAATTGAGGTCAACATATACGCCATCAACAAATTTTCATCATCCGACATGAATCTCGAGGTATGAAACATACTTTGCAATAAATGTTCAATTTTCGATTAAAAATCATCTGAAACTCTGATTTCAACAAATTTATAGTCAAACTAACTGGCTCAACGAGATAGACACAATGATACAAAAATTGATCCTATCATGGTCAAATCAAGCCAAGATAAATCCGATAAACCACTTTTAAAAACTTTCATTACATAATTGGAAGGCTAAATGAATTTCAAATTTGACAAGTTTATAGTTGAATTGAGCGCCTTGACTAGATAAACATAACGAGCTCAAGATCGCTCAATTATGATATCATTAGGGAACTCAAATATTCATCGAACACCATCTGATCAAGGGAACCTCATTAGACTGTCCAATGGAGTGGTATGAATTTGTTCATTATTTGTAGAGGCCTCTTTCAAATTTTATAAATAGAGTCATACCTCTCTCTTGAGCAGGAACTAGACCTTGAGTCATAAGAAGATAGAAGCTTGAAGGAGTTGAAGTCTAGCATCGCTTCTAAACTGAAGATCTAGCGAACCACCCACAACCACAACATGTCGGTCACCATTGACCACCATCGATCGCCTCTAACTCAAAGTTAAGACTCATTTTGCAGAGTGAGTAACAACCATCGTCCTGGATTCACAAAACATCATACAGAGCAGTTCATCATCATGAACGTTGGTCCAACCTCGAAGACCGTGTGTCGAAGCTCCAACACTGCTCTACGTTGCGACCGCTCCATACCATGGGGCAACGATCACTTTTTATGCACAACTGTTATAACTCAAGGAACTGTGTAACCCTTTCCCGCCTATGAGACAAGGACATATACGTGTATTCACCAACTCATAGCAGATTATTTCAACTGAGTCAGACCTCGTAGTTTTTCCCCTTGTGAGTTTTTCACATGAAAATTTTTTATATTTCTATTTATCACTTTTAATACTGCAATGTCAAGATGATAGTTCATTACTCTATTGCAAATTCTCAGCACGCATCAGAAATAAAAACATTACAATATGTTTATACTAGTTTGTTCAAATATAAATATATTTGAAGAGGGCAACTTTTTTCACTGAACTGGGTCTGTTAATCCACAACCAAATCCAAATCTGTATCTGCAAGAGTGAAAATTAATTCTCTTCCATTGAAAAACAAAATTAAGGAATGAAAAAAAAAAAAACAGATGAGAAATATATTTTGTTATCATGGAAGTGAAAGGTAGGCAAGAAATAGTTCATTAGATACCTTGATGCAGCTTCAGTAATGGGGAAAAAGAAGAAACTGGACAGACATGTACTAGTGCCCGCTTAAAATGCCCAGTCACAATTATTAAAGGGAAGATTTACATACATACAACTCAATTCTTATGTATTTACACATCTAATATCCACACTTCAATTTTTACATACATACCAAACATGAAAAGATATATTTCACTATTTAAAATTTGAAATGGTGATATTTAAAATGTGATATGAAACTTTGGGTGGTATAAATATAAAAAATAAAGTTTAGACTTTAAGTATGTAAATACATATGAATTGAGTGGTATGCATGTAAATGCCGCTTTTTAAAATGGCAGCAATTTCTGGGCATAGGACCAATAGCAGAGGCAAGTAAAACTGCCAGAGCTTATATAATATATAATTGTGGAGTCAAGCAGCAGAAGCTGACCTTACTCTGCAGAACTTTTGGATCAGAGTAATTTGCCCAAAATTTAATTTTTATAAATTTCAAATTTTTTTGATTAATTTTAAGATAATTACACTATAAAAAAAAGTAATCAAAGTTTATATTATACTTATCTTAAAATAAATCTAAACACCTGGATGAGAAAAAGGAAGATTTGCATAACTACCATTCAATTCCAATATATTTGCATATCTAAACACCTAAATTTCAATTTTTACATACATACCACACCCCCATGCATGCAAAAATGTATTTCACTTCTTTAAAGTTAAAAAGGTGGTATTTTTTTATGTGATATTGTAAGATTTGGGTGGTATAAAAGTATAAATGAAAGTTTAGGTGTTAGATATGTAAATAAATAAGACTTAGTTGGTGTGCATCTAAATGCCCCAAAAAATTGGTGTTATTTCCCCTCTCTGCCTCAGAGAGGACATGCACGTGAAGGTCCAATAATTTCCCATGCACTGAGTGGGTCCAAACTCAGCCAGCCTATTCTCAGTTGTTCTCAACACAAAATCCATTAATTTTAAGAATCTCTGCTCTCTCTCTCTCTCTCTCTCTCTCTCTCTCTCTCTCGCTCTCTCTTCCCTTCTTCTCTAACAGCCAAACTCTCTCTTCCTTCCTCCTCGGATTCCTCTACCTTCAATGGCTAAACAGATGGTTTCACTCTGTTATTACTTCTCCCTTCTCCTAGCGTTCATGGCGGTTGGCTTTGCAAGTATGGAGGAGAAGAAAGTTCTGAACTTGCAGAAAGTGGATTTGGGAGAGGAGAGAAGCTCCAAGTGTCTATTGCCTCAGAGATCAAGTAAATGTAGTTTCTGATTAGTATTTCTTCAAGACGTATGATTTCAGAACTGATTGCTGTTCAAGGAATTCATTCTATTTTCATTTAGTTATGTGTGTGTGTGTGTGTGTGCGCGCGTGTGTGGTGTAGATTAGTGTTTCTGGGAGACCTCTAAAATTCAAGAGCAGGTATGCATCAATAAATGACTTTTTTAATCAGTGTAGAGAAAACAATAAGTTTTATATGTAGATTTTGCTCATTCTTGGTTGAGATTGAAGCACACAGAAAGAATAAAATTGTAAATTTGATTTTATTAATTTTGATTAATATGTTTCTGTGATTATGGTATTTTCTCTGCTCATGTGGAGAAACAGAAACTAAAGTCCATTACACTTAGGGGTGCTTGGCTGCAACCAAGATTTACATTAAATAAGATTTAGTAAATCCGGTAAATTCAAATTTATCAAATCCAGATGTTTTTAAATCTGAAACCGTTTGCCGTCTTCTATTCCTAAGCTAAATCCATTAAATCCATCTAATAATCAGATTTAAGTAATCTGAATTTACGTTGAAAAAGAGATATAACAGAGAGATATTGGACTTACTAGAGTGCAGGATTTAACTTCCTTATTTTCTGCATTTAGTTGGATTTATGTTAAATCCAGACGTAAATTCTAATTGTGCTAGCAAACACTCCTTTACCATACTCTGTTTACAGCAAAAGAAAGAGACAATAAGCAAAGGCGATACACTCTTTTACAACTTTCACATAAAATTGTTTCAAATGAGAAATTAGAGGTATTTTTATTGTCATCATTGCCCATCAACTTTCTAATTTGGCAAACATAACTCTAGTTTCTTCTATATAAAAACATAAACTATTTTTCTAGACTAACACTTAAACCACAGGAAGAGAGAAAGGTGCAACAATACTAGAAGTAAAACATCACAGCTGCTCCATGTCATTCTCAACACCCGAAGCCAAACTCATGAAGATCATCAATTCGGACAATGCAAGAATCTCATACCTGCATCACCGAATCAAAAACTCCGATCCAAAAACCACAATGAAAGTTCAATCAGAAGCTCAAATCCCATTAACCTCAGGAGCTGAGCTCCAGACTCTAAATTACTTGGTCTCAATCAAGCTCAGCAACAGCGAAGTGACTTTGATCGTCGACACCGGAAGCGACCTAACATGGGTTCAATGCCAGCCCTGCAGCTCCTGTTACAACCAACAGGATCCTATCTTCAATCCCTCTACCTCTCAATCCTATCAGCTGATTCCATGCAACTCCCCAACTTGCAGTTCAGTCCAAATCGCAACTGGAATATCTTCTTTTTGCAGCACTGATCAACCAAGCTGCAACTACTCTTTCAGCTATGGAGATGGATCTTACACAAGCGGAGTTCTCGGCTGGGAACAAATTGACCTTGCAGGAACCATTATCGATGGATTCGTATTTGGTTGCGGACGAAGTAATTATGGACTTTTTGGGGGGGCTTCAGGATTAATGGGGCTGGGAAGAACACAATTATCACTCATATCACAGACTACTCTTCAATTTGGAGGCATTTTTTCCTACTGTTTGCCTCCGAGAGAGTATGATTCATCAGGCTCCCTTGTTCTTGGAGATAACCCCTCCATTTTTAAGAATAACACTCCTGTGAGTTACACAAGAATGATTCTGGATCCTCCAGAATCACCATTCTACTTCCTTAACCTTACAGGAATAAGCATCGGTGCGGTGGCTCTACAAGCTTCGGGATTTTATAATGGCAGCAAAGTTCTTATTGATTCAGGAACGGCGATTACCAGACTCGTTCCTTCAGTTTACAGAGCTTTGAGGGATGAGTTTGTGAGACAGTTCTTGATGCATCCGGGGGCTCCAGGGTATTCAATATTGGATACCTGCTTCAACTTGGAGGGTTTAAGGGAAGTAAGCATCATTCCTGCAATGAAGTTCGTGTTTGAAGGTGGAGTGGAGGTTGATGTGGATGTTAATGGACTGTTCTACTATGTTAAGGAAGATGCTTCACAGGTTTGTTTGGCTCTGGCGAGCTTAACGTATGAAGATGAGGTTGGGATTATCGGAAATTATCAGCAGAAGAATTTGAGAGTGGTGTATGATACTCTTGGATCGAGCCTAGGGTTTGCAGAAGAAACTTGTGGGTGGCTATAGCAGGAGCAGGAGGAAGATAAATGACAAGGTACTATACAGGAGATTATGCACATTTTATATTTGCAAGTACAACTGGTTTTCACATTAAGCTTCATAGTTTCTGGATTAGGAAAATATACATGATTGAGATTGTAAAGAACTGTAGAAAAATATATGCAGTATCTTAATGAAGTTTCTAATGCAGCAGCTTTTTTTTCATAATAGGTAGATAAAATGTATTATTTAGAAAGTAAGCTCCAGTGTCTTTTAGATCAAAATATTGAAAACTCTGCCTTTCAAAAAAGTCCAAGTGAAGGTTAAGAAGATTGTAAAAAATTGAAATGTGGATCAAAATTAACAGTACATGACAAAAAAAAAGAGATAATTAGACAATCTACTTTTTAGTAAGATAAGAGTTCATTCTTCTTATACATGGATGCATATTATAATTTTCATCACATAAATGGCAAAGATTGACATTAATTAAAAGTTGACTTCGGCTGCATTTATACTCATAAAAAAGTTCAGCTATTTTGCATCTTACCGATGCAAATATTTCAATGAAAGGAGAGAGATGTGAATGGAGAGTTAACATCATCTCTCTCTCTCTCTCTCTCATATAACCTAACCAATTCTCAAACTCGGCTCTTTACATATTGATGTGTAAAATGTGAAGTTGTATTATAGTGTGTTGAGAATGTATTTCGTCTTTTTTTTAAGCTATTTGTGTGTGTATGTTGTATATTTGTGCAGTATAAATGGACAAAGGAAGTATTTGGATATCACATTTTACACAAATGACATCCCCTAAACTAGCATTTTACATAAAAATTGCAATTCTTTTTTCCAAACAAGCGCACCATCAGCAGGTAACTAATGTCAATATCTGGACTAAGAAAAATCTTTATAACTCATTTTTACACAAATATCACCTTCTGTTTCTCCTTCATTTGACTAATATTGGAGACTGAGGGTTTTACTCAAGTTGTAGATCTATCTACAGATTAAGAATATTGATAAACTAATACTGGAATCAAATAAAAAGTTATATATATATATATATATATATATATATCATTTCTTCAGAATTTAAGAATCGCAAACTACAAACATTATTCATGCAAAGTAATAAACAAAAAAAAGTTCATATTTAAATCATACATAGTGTTCATGCATAAACAATGCAGTCTTGCTCTAAGAATAAAAAATAACAGATTTCCATTCCATGTAAATATTTGTATTCTTAACAAAAATTTGGAATCCTACAAAGATGCACAGGTAATACTAAAGTGTGTGTACAAATGACAAAGAACAATGGTATATTATAGCTAAATCACTACTTGAAGCAATTACAGAAGACGAAAAAACCAATTTTACTAAAAAAAATCCTCTAGGAGCTGTTTACCAGAGATGCCAATTCAACATCAGCTTCTTTCGGACTATTTGTGCTTCCATTTTTCATTAACATCTCAGGAGGAAGAAGATTCGAATTCTGATCAGTTTTGGGAACCAAAAATAACAACGACAACGGCAACAATCTCATTATATTGCGGATCAAAATTGCCGTCCAAAGGTTACCGAATTCAGTGCGCGTAACCTTCAAGAGACGAAGCAATAGCCCACCACCCCAGGACGATGAGAGCAAGCCGACATTATCAATGGACATAAGCAACGCGAAAAAAGTTCCTTCGATACCTGATGGACAAAGCTTGGAGCTCAGGACGAGAATCGGCATCCACTTTAGGCGCCCAATCAATTGCGAAACACACTCGTCGAGGACGACGAAGAAATAATCGGGAATCCCTAGCTTCAAGTTCAGACGGAGCACCAGAATCAAATCGAGCATTCCAACGAAGCCAGTTAGGAGTTGCGACCAGAAAAGCAAACCGCGGAACTGAAAGTCCTTTAGAAGGTTTTGGTAAAGCAGAACGCCCAAAAGCGAACCGATCGATCCGATGGAGAAGATGAATCCAACATTTTCCTGCAGCACAAGCATTGAGATTTGCGTTTATTATACAGGAGTAAATGAACCAGGCTCGAGCTCACCAGCCCAGCTCATCTAGCCAGCTCAAATTTGAGCTAGATTACTAAACTAGCTTGAGCCGGCTAGTTGGCTCGCTAGCTCACTAGTTTAGCCTACTGCTGACCATTTCGATGCATTTTTTTTGTCATACTCCTCCTCTGGCCACCAATACCTTCGCCGTTGGGCACCCGTAAAAATTGAATTTTAGTTTGAGCTTGTGAGCCAGCTCAGCTGCTACCGCTATGAGCCGAGCTCGAGTTTGGCATGGCTCGAGCTCTCCTCGACTCGTCTACACCGTTATGGTAGATATCTATGCTTAGAATAAAGTTGGGATCATTTTAACCCAAGTGTCTATAAAATATCAAATTATTCCCTTAACTCATTAGAGTTAAAATAATAATCTGTTGGGACTTTTCCAGCCCATATTAAAAGCATCTAGAGAGTAAATTTACGCTTTTATAGACTCTAGGACTAAAATGATGTGCTCCGAAAAAATATAATCCCTCCAACTATTTATTTGGGGTCATTTTAGTCCTAGAGTTTATAAAATGTCAAATTAGTTCACAAACACTTTAAATTTAAGCTGAAATAGTACTTCGTGGGAACTATTTATGGAGACCAAATTGACATTTTCATAGATTCTGTGACTACTAAACTTTGGTAGTTACCTGGGAAAAAGCAGGACCAGCCTTAGGATTTGTATACCAATAAAACATTCCTTCCTGAATGTTAAGGCTCAGGGCAAATGTAATATACGTATATAAGCATGGCCTCCAAACTTGTGGGCATTTCAAAGTTGACCACATAGATTTGCCAACTTGCAGAAACCTCTTGTGAACCTGAGATCAGCTTGTTTTAAACAACAGCATCCAAAACCAAAAAAAAAAAAAAGAAAAAAAAAAGGACATTTACATACATACCACAAAATTCTTATGTATTTATGTATCTAAGACCAAACTTTATTTTTTACATTTACGGCATTCAAATCTTTCATATCACATTAAAAATATCACTTCTTAATTTTAAAAAAAATGAAATGCTCCTTTTCATGGATAGGTAAGGTTGCATACATGTAAAAACTTACGTTTAGGAGTTAGATATGTAAATACATAGGAATTGAATGGTATGTATGTGAATCTTCCAAAGAAAAAAAAGGGAAGAAGATAAAGGGAGATCTCACCTCAGTGTAAGCAAAATTAGTAGTATGTGGCTCCTTAATCAATATTCCAACTAAGAATGTCAGCAAACATGGGATACTTAACAAGCCAATTACCCCCTTTCATGAATACAAAAAATAAGAAAAAAAGTGAACATTAATTCTGTTCGAGAAATTATGAATGTTCATCACAGTCAGGCTATGTTTAAGCATAAAGAGGATTCTTCGAGAAAATAACCTGTGATCCCATGGCATGAATGAGTATCCCACTTAACGAAAAACCTATAAGTGCTCCAATGGAGGCAGTCAATCCACATAAGCTTTGCATGTCCGCCGCAAGAGAAGGTTTAGCAATACTGTTCTGCGCAACACAGGCATCTATAGTCACATCTGCTATAGCTACACCTGCGCTTCCTGCAGTCATTGCCAGTAAGGCAAATACAACATGCAGTTTGCTATGGAGTGATAATGTGAGCATTGAAAATATACCCAAAAGGCCTGCATGGTTCATGCATACATTTAATCAATAATAAGCTAGTTGACTTGAGGAGAATACATTAATCCATGACCAAATGTAAAAGAAACAATCCTCAATCAGTAGTTACAAAGATGAACACACCTAAATGGAAAATGGTGCAAAGAGTGATGGAATCTTTTACAAAGATTTTGTTTTGCCTCTGTGTCGCTTATCAAATTTGAATTTTCTACTTGCGAATTGGGTAAACAGCATTTTTTGCCATTTCCTTCTAATAGTCATTGGCATCATATGTTTGAACTTATCCAATCAGATATGTGGGGCTTAGTCCTGCTCTTACTAGCTTAGAAAATTTATATTTTTCTACCACATTCATTGATGATTACTATAGAGGATTACATGGTTCTACTTAGTCAAATGTTGAATAGAATTTGAGTATATGATCCAGACATTTTATTTTTAAAAAAAAAGTCCACTTATTTGGCTTCAAATCAAACATCTACACTGATAATACTCTGAAATTTATGTAATTTCAATTTCAAACTTCCTACACTATTAATTAAAATATTCAATAGAACTTTTGCTCCTATGCCTCCTAACAAAATATTATGGTTGAAAGCAAAAAGTGTTATTTGCTTGAGGTTTCTTGAACTTTAATGTTTCAAGTATATGCTTATCGACAACTCTAAGGTGATATGATGTTAATAATATGCTATCTCATTGGGTTCCATCCCCTCTCCTTTATACTTTTTTCCCATTCTCTCTTTTGAATCTTTGCCTGCCCTATTTTAATAGCACCAAATATTTGTCCTTGTATGTTTTGCTCGTGCTTTTTTATCACTTAACAAGCTCTCTAACTGCGCCATTTAACATATATTTCTAGACCATTCTTGCATTAAAAAATGATATTGAAAATATGATCAACTCTCTCAATATTCTATTGATCAATGCTATTTTTTAGGAGACAACAAACTCTTTCGTTCAATCCTCTTTAAAGTGATCTTCACGTTATGTTTCTATAGAAATGCCTCTTTTTACATTTATCCCGTTATAAATTTAATCAAGACAATATCGATCTCCACTTATTGCAACACCTTCAACTATATTATCATAATCGTCTAAGAATCTACTTGCTAAGGAACTCCCTAATCTCCTCTTAGCAATTTCCCTTGAAAAAGTTTAAAAACCTTGATTTGTTCGTCATAATCACTCTTATATGACATTTGATCATCTCTCTTCTTTTCATAGATTCTCCTAGCTCCTATCCTTTGTATCTATTCCCAAAACATATCAGGAAGCACCATAAAAAACATTCTATAAAGAAGCAATTGATATGTTGGGATGGGTAATGTTCATAGTCATCATACGTCGTACTTGCTTATCCCCACCCTACCCATACTAAGGCTAAGTTCATATATTGTTGTTGGGGTCTTGTTGACCTCATTTTTAGTGAGGTCTAGTCTTCCTCTTAGGGTTTAGGATCTAGCCTTAGGGATCTCCCTTTGACTATCTTAGAACCTTAGAAATGGGACCCGCCTCGTTTTAATTCGACCTATTTCCGTCCTCTTTTGTGGTTCCAAGTGTGTGGTATCGACTTCTAGCATTTAGAAGGGTGAAACCAACATGAGGAAACCCAAAAGGGATCCCTATAGGACCTTTTTGAGCCTTAGGGTGGCCTTCTGCACAATTCGCCCCCCCGCGCGCACAAACTTCGCAATTCGGAGAGCCAACACGTCCGATCGCCATAATTCACATCGCTTGCACTGTTACCCGTCGAAGACTCGAATGAAATTTTTGAAACAATCGATCGCGGGTCAATATTTTTGTGAAATTTGAATTTCGACGCGTTTTTGACCCGACCGTCGACGACGTCGTCCGAGCGACCCCGGATGACGAAACGGACTGCGCCAACGCGTCCGGAACGTCAATTTTGCCTAGGGAGGACACCTATTTTGTCGCATCGTCGTGCGCGGGTAAAATGTGTTTTAATTAATATATATATATA